CAATCAAGTTCAGAGAGGGGGTGAACATGTGGCATGTTAGGCAGTGAAAGATAGTTCTGGTGTGTTGGAAAAATGCCTTTTTGTATCCACCAGGGTGCAGTGAGGAACCTGCTTACTGTGTCACTGGGGATTTGTTAGATTCTAAAATCAAGCTCAGCATGGATGTCAGGCCTTCTAGGGACTTCTGAATTAATCAGAATATATGATATATTGAATCCTTGGTTGGGAGGGGGCACAGACCTGCATGTGCTTCAAATTTGGTAGCTCTCACACCACTCTTATTAGTTCCTGTGAACCTTGAAGGATGGAGAGTCATTCTAGAGACTTGGGTTATGTGAATTGGGAAGACCGTGTGATTAGGGATGCCTTCAGTTGGTGGGATACCACTGTCTTCTTGACCGGTTCCTTGTAGGGTTGATTGTCACATATATAGGGAGTTTTGATACAATCCTGGGAGGTTACCCTGGATTATTATGCAAATCTCACCTCACAAGAAAGATGGGATCCATTAGTAACTTATTCCAAGTTCTCTTCTAAACTGATTAGAGAATGACGAGAAGGTAAAAGTTAATGGCTGTTAAAAAGACTTATTTTGGATTTGAGAGTCTTTCCTGAGCTATTTTGGTCAAAAACATTTTAATTTTAGTATGAAGCCATTGATGATTTATAACCATGCTAGATGATGTAATTGATCTCTTTTGTTTAGTTTTAATTTCTTTGATTAATGTTTTAGAAATCCTTGTCTTCTTCATAGCTGTACCTGCCTGTAAGTGAGTATTTAGAGATACTGTCATTCTCGTGTTATTACAACCACATCAAGAAAGGATTGTGATTTTGGAAGATAGATGTTCAAATGGCATGTAATTTGTGTTGTTTGTATTTATGTGGTCTTTCTAGGCCTTGCCACTTTTTCATTCAGTTAACATAGTTAAATTGAGGTAGCATCTCCATTTTGAAAAATTAGCAGTGGAAATACAGTCTAATCTGGTGACAGCACTGCCCAGTCTTAATGCTGAGGCTGGGTAAGATAGTGTCTTGACTGTATATAATTATCATTTATATGTCCACACTCTTTCTGTCACTTTCTTTAAAAGTTGCAAATGCAGTATATACTCATAGGAAAATGAGAAATATGTATTACCAGAGTAGCTGTATGCTTCTCTTTGTTCAAGGATTAGCAAAATGAGAAAGGAATGGATAAAGAGGAAGTGTTACCATGTATGGTTCTAGGCATTGGGATGGATCAGAAATCAAAACAGATGAAAACCTCTGCTTCGCAGTTGTTTTAGGGGGTTGGGAATGGGCCAAGTTGAAAACGCAAGGTGGAAGTTTCAGAGGAGGCAGCAGTACCCCCATCTGGCCACCAGGAGGTGGCCTTGTACCGCAGAGGGGAGTGTGCTTTGGGTTGGGGCCTTTGGGGTTGTTGTGTCTCTGATGGCTGAGTTCTAAGTTCATGGAGCTGCATGCTGTAGATAGGATTGTTTTAACCCTGTCTCTTTATTATGTAACCTACACTAAGGTCATATGTGGCTATGTAGCACGAGGGGCTATGACGTTGCCACAGTGGAAGAATTTCAGGAGACCTTGTGGCCAGGGGCTCAAAATTAATTCCTACAGATTTTTATACATAATGTAAGGGTCTAGAGTTGTAATTTCTTACCTTCTTTTCCATGTTCAAGTTAACATATGGTTTAAAAATAAAATAAGAGTTAACTGCAAAGAAAATGTTTTTAGACCACCATAATTTTATCTTAGTCCTTTTGTTCATTTTGTCTTGCTTTTGTCTGTGATAATATGCAGTATGTATTTTATACATACTTATAATACATGTGTATATATGTATAAATAATATGCATTCTCATTTAACAGTATTGTAAATGGGCATCTATGTAGTGTTTCACAGCGTAACACTTGACTGAGAGCTGGTTTCTTAGATGTCCAGGATTAATGAGACAAAATAATGAATTCCAGTAAAAGTCACACATCAATCGTAAAAGAGCAGAAAAGAAATCTTGGATTTAAGGGAGAAGACAGAGTCCAAAGTTCCTTCACCCTAGCTTCTAAGAGACATTTGTGAAGTTTTGCCAGCCAATTTCAAAATGTCTAACTGGTTCAAGTATTTACTCTTAGGTTCTAATCTTACTTCTAGGGTAAAGAGGCTATAGGAAGCTTAGAGACAGCCTCTATTTCTTCTTCCCAAGCTTTGAGATACCTGCCTCATAACTGCAGGTGTTTCCCACAGATTTCTCCTTTGGGCTTTCCATTGCCTTCTAAATAGAACCCTGGTGGTTATCAAGCCACATCCATTACCTTTTGTCTATTTTTAACTGGAGGAAGTGTCTGTTACCTTTTTCTCCTCTGGGTTAGAGGCTCGTTGAAAAAGAGGAAGATCTTTGATGAGATGGATTGACACAGTGGCTACAACAATGGGCTCAAACATAGCAATGATTGTGAGGATTGCACAGAACCAGGCAGTGTTGTTTTCTGTTGCACATGGTATCACTATGAGTTGGAATCCACTCAGTGGCACCTAACAACAACAACAGCAACAAACAGGATGGAGTAATATTCTATTTTCCAGATGCCTGCTCTTTGAGCCACTCATACTTAACACCAGCTGCCTTCTGCCTCCCTCCAGTTTTTGGTTTTTCATGTTCCTGAGCCTGGGTTCTTTTGCTTGCTGTTGCTAGTTGTGTGTTTGGTCTGCCTTTCGTCTTTTTTTTTTTTTTTTTTTAAATTATAATACTCGTACGTTATTAATCATACATTAAATATTAAGATCTGATGGCAGGTCTGACAATCACCATAATCTTAAAGTACTGATAAGCATAAACAGTATTTCAAAATATCTACAGTAATACTAATATGATAAGAAAACATCTATGATTTCAAAGTCGTAGGTATTGCTAAACTGCTAATGCTGGTTTTCTACATTCATAATTGAAGAAAATACTAACTTTCCTTTATGGGTTCATGTAAAATAAAATGTAAATTCTTCCCATCTAAGTTCACAGACGCTTTTAAGTTCTGTTTATGGATCCTATGTTGTGAATCCTGGTTTTCAACTTAGGTGTTGAAGGCATCCTTACTTCCAGAATGGTTTCCTTAAACTCACCTTTACAGTGGCTCCAACTTTTAACTAGGATCATTCATTGGTGATTTAGTGGTAGAATTTTGCCCCTCTGTAGAGCTCTGGTGGCATAGTGCCTAAGGCATTTGACTGCTAACCAGAAAGCTGGCAGTTCCAAGCCACCAGCTACTCCTTGGAAGGAAGTTTGGATAATCTACTTCCATAGAGATACTGCCTTGGAAACCTGAGAAGGGTTCGTTATGAGTCAAATCAACTCCATAGCAGTGAGTTTTTTTTTAATGCTAGTGACCCAGGTTTGATTCCCAGCCAGTGTATCTGATGTGTAGCCACCACCTATCTCTCATTGGTGGTCTGGGTGTTGCCATGATGCTAAACAGGTCCCAGAAGAGCCTTCAGACTGAGGTAGACTAGGAAGAAAGGCCTCATGATCCACCTCTGAAAATCAGGGAGTCTCTGCATTTTATCTTGTCAGTGAGACCAGGCTGTTGGCTTCAAGCAGTCATGCTTAGTTGTGGTTCTGGAACAGCAACATCACCGTCTTCTGGGAACTTGTTAGAAATGAACATTTCCACGCCAACTCCAGACCTAGTGAATCAGAAACTCAGGGTGGGGACCAACAATCTATACTTGAACAAACCCTCTAGGTAATACTAATACACACTCAAGTTTGAGAACCCAAACCAAAAACCAAACCTGTTGTCGAGCTGATTTCAACTCATAGCTGCCCTTTTCAAAGCTATACTCTTTACAGAGCAGATTGGTGGTGGTGGTGGTTATGTGCCATTGGGTCGGACCTGACTCATAGCGACCCCTCCTTGGGTTTCTGAGGCAGAATCACTATGGAAGTAGATTGCCTAACCTTCCCTCCAAGGAGTGGCTGGTGGGTTTGAATTATCAGCCTTCTGGTTAGCAGTCAAGTGCCTTAGGGACTACACTACCAGAGCTCCTGCAGAGCAGACTACCACATCTTTATCCTGTGGAGTAGCTGGTGGGTTGCAACTGCTGACCTCTTGGTTAGCAGCTGAACATTTAACCACTGTGGTGCTAGAGCTTCCTCAAGGTTGAGAACCATTGTGCTAAAGCATTGCAGAAAGTAGACTGTAAGTCTTAGCATATGTTCCCCCTCAAATCTTGGTATGTGTCAGCATAAAAACTGATGATTTCTCTGCCCTTGATATTCGTGCACTTAAAATTCTGAATTATGTTTCTCTGATTTTTCCGAATGTCAATATTTCTACAGCATAATGTATTTTATTTAAAGTTGGTAATACTTTTAATTTCAGATTTGTTGACATGAGTTTCTGTTTTGTTTTGCCATTTGAGTCACCAGCTGAGAGAATGTGGTAAAGAAGGAAGTATTATGGAGCTCCTGCCCTTGTGCTCTGACATTCTCTTATCTTGGTTACCAAGCCTCCCTCCCCCATTGACAACTGTGCAGTTGTTCCATTGAGTCAGTCCGCCAGTTGGTGGGACTTGCTTGTGAATCAGCCAGTGCTGGCACCGAAGACTCACTGTGCTGCCATCTGCTTTTTATGGAAAAGATACAAGTCTGTGCCATGAGACATTTGGGCTCTCAGCCCTGACTGTAGTCCTTTAAATAATGTACTTTCTCCAAGTCCTGATTACAAGTCTGGCAGTAAAGTGCGGCCTTAAAAACGTAAAACATAAAGCAACAACAACAACAAAAATCCTTTCTGCTGTGGGCTAAAACCTAAAGAGAATGTAAAATACCAGACTTTTAGAATATTGGTTATTCAAGGATTGGTGAAAAATCAGAATAATTGTACCTAAGGAATCAGTACAGTTTTCTAAGAAAGATTAGGTAAAGGAGATGCTTAGGTGAGATTAGTGGTTTGAAATATCTTGAATATTTTTATATCTTAGGTATTTTTACGTCTCTTTCTTCTAGACCTAGAAAGGAAAGAACAAGAATTAGAGCAGCTGAGAATGGATTGTGAACACTTTAAAGCCCGCCTGGAGACTGTGCAAGCAGATAGCATGAAGGAGAAAAAGGTACAGTGCTTAAGGATAGAATTCCCCAAACTCCCAAGTTCATGCCATGTCCTAAAGTGGTGCTGGCTTACAGCCATTCATTTTTTTTTTAAATGCATTTTATTGAAATATAATTTATGTGCAGTAAAATTCACAAAACTAAAGTGACGTGGGTCAGTGCATTTTTTTTTTCAGTGTTCCCTCCACTCCCCCTCCACTGGCAACCAACAAAGAAAGTTTCCCTCCATATATAAACCTTTCCTTGACCCTCCAAAAGAACAAACTAATACTATATTTGTCCTTCTGTGATTGACTTATTTCACTCAGCATAATGTCCTCCATGTTCACCCATATTATGTGGTGTTTTGCAGACTCTATATTATTCCTTAGTACTGCATAGCATTCCATTATGTGTATGTATCATGGTTTGGTCAACCACTCTTCTGCTGATGGGCATGTAGATTATTTCCATCTTTTTGCTATTGTAAATAGTGTTGTGACGAACATGGGTGTGCATATATCTGTTCCTGTCCTGGTTCTTACCTCTCTAGGATATATACCTAGTAATGCGATTGCTGGGTCAAATGGTATCTCCAATTCCAGCTCTGGTCGCGTAGTGCCTAAGGCACTTGACTGCTAACCAGGAGACTGGAGGTTTAAACCCACCAGCCACTCCTCAGAAGGAAGATGGGGCAATCTACTTCTGTAGTGATACTGCTTCGGAAACCCAAGGAGGGGTTGCTATGAGTCAAGTCTGACTCAATGGCACATAACAACAACAACAAGAAGCAATCACCATATTGCTTCCCACAGTGGTTGTATCCCTTCACAATCCCACCAGCAGTGTATGAGAGTCCCAATCTCTCCACATCCCCACCAGCATTTGTTATTTTCTGTCTTGTTGAACCTTGCCGTCAGTGCTGGGGTGTGATGGTATCTCATTGTTGTTTTGATTTGCATCCCTCTGATGGCCAGTGATTGTGAGCATTTCTTCATGTATTTGCTGGCCACCTGAATATCCTCCTTGGTGAAGTGTCTATTCATGTCTTCTGCCCATTTTTTGATTGGCTTGTTAATTCCTTAGGTGTTGAGGCATTGGAGTTTTCTATAAATCTTAAAGATAAGTCCCTTGCCAGATATGTAATTATGGGCAAATATGAATTTGTTGCTGTCATTTTTGTCATGTGCTTTTTTGTGGTGTCGATTTCTTTGTTCCGTATAATTTTCTATGCTGAGCTCATTCTGTTTATGAATCATGTTATCAGTTCCTTTGTTGCTATTGTTTTAGTATTTGCTAATAAATATTTATGCTGGTCCTCTTTTTTATTTTGATGTGAAGGTTTGTCATTTTTCTTTGAGGTTACCCTGTGGTTTATAGTTTTCTTCCCAAATTTAGAACAGTCCATTCTATCTTATAGTTGTCTTGACGCCCCTACCATTTAGAAGTTCTGTAATGACACAGTTTTTTCCCTCTTTTTGGTTTGTAGTTATCCTCATTTGTCAATTGATGTCTCTGGTCCCCTGTTTACAATCTTGTAGGCTTAGTTACTTTGGATACTTCCATAGCTGGATTGGTTTCTGGGTTATATCATTATGTATGCTAATGGTCAGTTGTTGTTGGCTTTTGTTGCTTCTCTGTCCAAAGTGTTCCCTTTAGCATCTCTTGTAAGGTTGGTATGATTTTTAACAAATTCCCTTAATTTCTGCTTATCTGGAAGTGTCCTAATTTCACCATCATATTTGAGGGACAATTTTGCTGGGTATATAATTCTTGATTGGATATTTTTCTCTTTCAGTGTTTTATATATACCATCCCATTGTCTTCTTGTCTGTATGGTTTCTGCCGAGAAATGTGAGCTTAGTCTTATTGGTTGCCCCTTGTATGTAACTTTTAGTTTTTCTTGTGCTGCTTTCATGATTCTTTCTTTGTTTTTGGTTTTGGTGAGTTTGATGATGATATGTCTTGGTGATTTTTCTTTTGGGGTCTGTCCTGTTTGGGGTTCATTGGACTTCCTGAATGGATATATTCTCATCTTTCATCATATCAGGGAAGTTCTCTTCCAACAAACTTTGGACAATTTTCTCAGTGGTTTTATTTTCCTCTTCCTGTTCTGGAATTCCAATGACACATAGGTTATTCCTTTTGATGGTATCTCACATGAACCTTAGGCTTTCCTCATTTCGTTTTGATCTTTTTTCTGATTGATCCCTTTCCAAAGAAGTATTCAGGTATTTGTCTTCAATCTCATTAATTCTGTCTTCCATTGTATCAATTCTACTCTTTTGCCCTTTCAATGTATTATCCATTTCTGACAATTTAGTATTATTCTTCTGGGTTTCTATCTGTAGATTTAAAATAATTTCTAATTTTTCATTTATTTTGTCATTTTGTTCTTGTAGTTTCTTCTCAAACTCTTCTAGTCTTCTAGTCTGTGTTTTCCTTGATCTGTCTCTCAATTCTTTGAAGATATCTAAATATAATTCTTTTAAATTCCTTATCAGGGAGTTACAACGCTGCATCTTCCTCAGGGATGTGTTTTGGATCTATATTCTGGTCCCTTGTTTCTCCTGCTTTATCTTGCTTCTTACTGTGGACTGTGATGCTCCGTTGTCTCTGAGGCATTGTGACATTTTTGTGTTTATATTTAATTGGTGATTATATGTTGGAGTGACTTGCCCGTGATTTTCATTTTCTTTGTTTTGTTTGTATGTTATCTACACAAGCAGTGTACTATGATGTGCTCCTCTATTCAGTAGTTGATAGCACTTATACACTCACCATCTGTCTCCTTTCCTGTTGTCGGCCTCTTGTATGTCCCTGCCGACCTTGGCAAATGGAGCCTATTCTTAGGTCCCTGGAATCTGAATGAGAATACTGTCACTTTAAAAATGCAAAATGGTTGCCACTTGTAAAGTTCAAAATGGCTGTGCCCTCAAGTCACTTTAAATATCCAAAATGTCCACTACTTGTAAACATTCAATATAGCTGTGCCCTCGGTCACTTTAAATATCCAAAATGGCCACTGCTTGTCAACATTCCAAATGGTTGTGCTCTTGGTCACTTCAAATATCCAAAATTGCCACTGCTAGTAAACATTTAAAATGACTGCACCATTGATCACTGTAAATCTCCAAAATGGCCACCGCTTGTAAACATTCAAAATGGCTGTGCCCTTGGTCACTTTAAATATCCAAAATGGCTGCTGCATGTAAACAATTAAAATGGCTGTACCCTCCAGATGGCAGAAAGTCAACACCTCAGGTTGTCTCCCTCCTTGCTGCTTCCCTTCCTTGTCATAGGGCATCAGCACAGTTGTCCCTGCAGCCCTGGGTGACCAGGGCTGATCTTTAGGTCAATTCTCAGGTCCCAACACCACTTGGAAATATTTAGGCTATTGGTTCTGTCAGAGTAGCTGACAGTCTGCAACTCTGACCGTCTTTGTACTCACTGTTTTTGTTCAGGTTTTTTCACTAGTTGGTGCCTAATCCACTTCTGTATAGTTCCTTTCAAAGCCCAGGGATCCAGGATTATTTTCTGTATCTCTGTCAACTGGTTTTTCTTTTCTTTGTTGAAGAGGGTCTGTGTCGCTTGTCTGCCTTTTCCTCCATCTTGCCAGAAGTCCCACAACCATTCATTTTTAGGGAGCCGACTTAGTATTTCTAGCCCTTAAGCCTCAAGATATCTTATTTTTAAATATTTATGTTCTGAATGAGTTGGAAAATAGTGGGACAATTGGATTTTTAAAAATTGTGATGAAAATATATGCTGAAGAAAACATATGGCAATTCAACAGTTTCTACTTGTATAATTCAGTGATATTGATTATACAATTCCAAAACATAAGAATTCATGATAATATTGGAAAAGAATATAGTACAGGTAATCATTTATAATTGGAGATAGATATATTAAATCAGAAGCATTTGTAATTAATTTGGGGTATTATTTTCTGATATTTTAGAAACAACCTGTTGTATTTTATTATAATGTCAGGGGAGACTACATAATATTTCTTAAAAATGACACCTTAATTTTTACTTTTTGCATGGTGTAAATTATTTCCTCTTACGTAAACCTAGAATTGTTCTCCAATATCTGGTAAAATTTGGCAGTTTGATTTAGTTTTGTTTTTGAATAATAAAACAATAATACTAATAGTAATAGCTAGTATTTATTGTCATTGAAAAGATGGGAAAGGAAGAAAAGACCAAAATGCATGTCAGAAGAGATTGTGAAACTTGCTCTTGAAGATAAAGTATCTAAAGTGAAAGGAAGAAGTGTTGAAATAAAGGAGCAGAACAGAAGATTCCATAGGGCAGCTCAACAAGACAAAAGTAAAATATTATAATGAAATGTGCAAAGACCTGAAATTAGAAAAAGGGAAGAAAACACTCATCATTTCTCAAGCTGAAAGAACTGAAGAAAAAATTCAAGCCATGAGTTGCAATATTGAAGTATTCTAATGCCAAAATATTGAATGATGCAGGAAGCATCAAAAGAAGATAGAAGAAATACACAGTCATTGTACCCACAGTGGGTAGACGTTCAGTCATTTCAAAAGGTATGATATAATCTAGAAGCAATGGTGTTAAAGGAAGAAATCCAAGATGCACTGAAGGAATTGGCGAAAAATGAGGTTCCAGGAATTAACAGAATATCCATTGACTTGTTTGAAGAAATGGATGCAGCTCTGGAGACACTTACTTGTCTATGCCTAGAAATTTGGAAGACAGCTATTTTGCCAACTGACTGGAAGAGATCCATATTTGTGCCCAGTCCAAAGAAAGGTGATCCAATAGATTGTGGAAATTATCAAACAATATTTGTATCACATGCAAATAAAATTTTGCTGAAGATAATTACAAAATGGTTGCAGCAGTGTATTGACAGGGAACTTCCAGAAATGCAAGCTGGAATCAGAAGAGGACATTGGATGAGGGATATCATTGCTGATGTCAGATGGATCTTGGTTGAAAGCATAGTATACCAGAAAGATGTTTACCTGTGCTTTATTGACTAT